CAATTCTGCTTATATTATTTTTTAATTTTAATCTTATTCTAGAAAAAAATTTATTTATGTTCACTAATATTTTATGTCTTTCTATTACTTACTTGGTTTATAATAATTTCCTCTTATTTACAAATAATTTATGAAATATTCCAGTAAAAGTATAAATAATACAATCAAATCTAGTTACTAAATATATTATTTATTTATTACAACTTCCAAAAACATGTAATAATTTTATGTAAATTCAAAATTTAACTGTTTAGAAAGGGACATTATATTCCAGTTATATAATAATAATAAAGATAGTAAGTGCATTCTTTCATAGGCAAAGTTTCATAACAGTCTTTAACAAAGTCGATAATAAAAGTTATCCCTTCTGCAAGAAAGATAATTCATTAATATAAAAATCACTAAAATATTGGTAAAGATTATTTCATGTTTAACGTCTAAAATCTATTTATAACTTACATGATATTTTATTTTTCCTTTTAAGAATATGCATTCTTAATTTTTCTCTTTTGTACATTCACATAGCCCTTTGGGTACTATGATGGGTGTATACCAACAGAATAAATTTCTTAGAAACATAAAAATTGATTTAAGCACCGGGCTAAGTAAACGAAGTAACAGACTCAATAGTTTTTGTAAAACCTGATACATTCAAAGAAATGTTATATACATTCAAAGAAATATTTATAAATAATTAATAAATTTCAAAATTACTAAAATTTATTTTAAACTTTTGAAATTTTATGTTATGCGCGCAATATATAATATTATGTTTTTATTTTATTGATTTTTAAATTCGTGTTGGACAAATTTTAAGTATAATCAATTTAAAGAAAATAGATAAATTTTTGTTAAATAATTTAATCCTGAGTACAATTTTTTAGTATAAATTAGTCATATAATTAAATGTTTTTGGTCATACATATTGTCCAATTTTTTTTAGAATAGCTATTTCTTGAATTCTTATAATAAATGTAATTTACTTTTGTGTAATTTCTTGTACTTTTTAACTCTTACCATTTCCGGACCGCGACGGGCTACTATAGTATCTCCTTGAACTTCATCGTCTTCATATATGTCATACTGTTAATTAAAAAGAAGATAAAAACTAAATTAATAAAAATTAAGTATATAACTGACAATTACATGCACAAAATTAATCGAATTTATTAGATAGACAGATTCTAATCAATTAGAAACTATCAAATAATATGTAACGTACCCGGTACCTGTAATTATAATTCCCCTACACATGTATTACATGTTACTTGAAGGAAATTTAAAGTCTGTTTTAACATTATTGCTATGTAGATTAAATAGGTAGAATGTTCTATTATAATTTTTTATTGCAATTAGAAGTTTTATAATGTATGTCATAAACGTTATTTAAAAAATATTATTTTT